TCTGCTGATCTGGCAGCACATGATAAATCATCTCTGGGTTACTGTGCCTCTCAAAGCCATTTCACAGCCAAAGGCACCACAACTGAGCCTGTGGGTCAGTGGCCACAGGCTGAACACACCTGGCAGACTCAAGGGCACACAGGGGGTGGGTGCCACTGCTGAATCAGGGAGGTGGGAGGAGGGGACCTGGGTGTAGGGGGCAGCTTGCGTTTGATTGGAGAGCCTGGTTCCAGTCCCAAGAGGCTTGCTTGTTTCAGTGTTGGCATGTCCACCAGGGAAGCCAGGATGTAAGCCTGCGGGACACGGACGAGCTCCCAAGTGCCAAAGGGTGGCAGGCAGCCTGGTGTCCCCAGGTGAGCTTCCTCTCAGCAGTGACTCTGGCACTGACTTTGATCTCCATAAAGGCACCCCCACTGGCTGACACACGGAAATGGTTCCACAGAGGGAGGTTTCAAACTTGCCTGAAATTTGTGGCGTCTCACATCATTTGCCCACCAAAAATAATGGAATGTTCCGGGAAACTGAACAACTGAGTCTGGAGCACAGGTGACTGGTGCCCTGAGCCTGGCTGGGCTCCAGCGCTGTCACCTGGGAAGGCCTCAGGTGGGGTGACAGTTTCTACTGCCCTGGGAGAAGAGACGGAAGTCCAATGTCCTTTTATGACACGGTTTATCCTGCCCTGTCCCATATGGAATCCAGATCATGGTCAAGGTCAAGGGGTGGCAATGGGCCCCACTTACCCTTGAGGTATTCCTGCATTCCCTGTGGCTCCTCATCCCTGGTGACCTGAGGAAGCCTATGTATGTACCCAGTGCCATGAGCAGCCGGGCCCAACCATGTACTTGGGATTTCCATGTACCTAAGGAGCTGGCTGAGGCTTTGGAAGAGTGAGAGTTTTCTGACTACTCAACAAACAAACCCAGGTCTAAACTCCAGCTTGGACTCAGGATGTCAGATCAATAAATCTCAGGTCCCATTGATTTCCCTCCCCAGTCTCTCCTTCAGCCTCATCTACACTATAAAGCACAGCTGTGACAGCATGCAGGCCACGGGAGAAGGGTGGGGACTCCTAAGGCTTCTAGGACTGAGTTTGCACGCTGAAGAGCACCACCCTGTGGAGATGAGGCCGTCTGCCTGCACCCATCTCCCAAAGCACCCCCACCGTCTATTTATGGCATCCCTGCTCCTGGTCTTGTCTCCACGGACACACCTCAGGTCCCTGGTTGGGAGTCCTGTGCAGTACCCCTGTTCCTTGAGATTTCTGGGCTACCTCTGAGGATTCCCATCAGGTCCCAGGGTCAAAATCCCCCTACATCCAGGCCCCCTCCTCCACCTTCCCAATTCAGGGAGGTACCCATGTTGTCTGTCTGTCCTGAAGGAAGAGACTAAGGGGTCTGTAAATCAGTCTGTTCCTAGACCAGGGGTGGGCAAACTTTTTGACTCGAGGGCCACAATGGGTTCTTAAACTGGACCGGAGGGCCGGAACAAAAGCATGGATGGAGTGTTTGTGTGAACTAATATAAATTCAAAGTAAACATCATTACATAAAAGGGTACGGTCTTTTTTTTTTTTTTTTTTAGTTTTATTCATTTCAAACGGGCCGGATCCGGCCCGCGGGCCATAGTTTGCCCACGGCTGTCCTAGACGATGACCTAGGCCCATGGTCGGCAAACTGCGGCTTGCAAGCCACATGCGGATCTTTGGCCCCTTGAGTGTGGCTCTTCCTAAGCCTTAGGAGTACCCTAATTAAGTTAATAACAATGTACCTACCTATATAGTTTAAGTTAAAAAATTTGTTGCTCAAAAGAAATTTCAATCGTTGTACTGTTGATATTTGGCTCTGTTGACTAATGAGTTTGCCGACCACTGACCTAGGCCAACAGTGGCAAGAACAGGTCTTCTGGCCACACCACACGGGCCACTGGTGCTGCTGATCAAGTCTGGTGCTCGCAGGCCAGCCGGTTAGGTCCCACCCCAGCCTCCTATTCCTGGTAGGGCTCCCAGGCCACCCTGGCAGGAACCTGCACCAGCGCCTTTGTTTATGTGGTATGTCCTTGAAGACTCTCCTGCAGCCCCTTATCTGTCAGGCAGCCTTATCTCCTTCAAGATGTGCCCCAGGCCCTGGCTGGGCTGCCTGTGGCACTGTCTGATGTCCTGACAGCCTGGCCAGAGCAAAAATGACCAGCAGGCTGTCACGTCTGAGGATTTCAACACCAACTGTGGAATTTGCAAATGGGTGAGTGCCATACTGTGCACAAGAGCCAGAGAATGTGTTCAAAAACAGCTAGGTGGTATATGTCACCTGGAGCCTTAGTGACACAGCTCCTGGGCATGTGTCAGACAGGGCCTTAGTTACGGCCACACAGCAGCCAACAGAGAACCCTGCTGCTGCGTGAACCACACCAGCAGGGAGGCTAACTGCCGGCAGCTCTCATGCCAAACAGAAAATTCCAGGTGCTGAGATGAGAGGAGGCAGCTGTGGGCTGTGGGACATCCAAGAAAGCCAGTTCCCTCTTAGAGATGGAAGCTCAGTATGTCCAGCGTAACCTGAGCTGCCCCGGCCTGGGCTTGGAGGGCAGATGCGGCCACACTAGGAATAGTCTGCATTCCTGCCTGCGCAGGCCTGCAGGAGTCGGCTGGGCTCGGGCCCTGGAAGGGCCCCAGGCCTGCTCTGGGAGCACCCGGGGTGCCTGTCGTGGGCCGGGCCCAGGATGCCTGGCAGGTTCTTATGAACAAAGCTGGCGCTGCCAGGTGTCCGCTGGGCTCCACCAGACCCGGCTGCTGCTTGCACAGGCCCAGGCAGTGGGCCCCGTGTGCTGGTACTTGTGAAAGCAAGAGGCTCTCTTCCTAACACTCCACTTGTACTGCAGGGCCTTCCAAGATTTTAGCCAAAGAGCCCTTTAAACATTAACTCACGGGACCCCCCTCCATGGAGCTCACAGAAGTCTGCACCAGGAGACAAACCTCAGCAGCAGCCACCAGTTACACAGGATGCCCCTCTGCCCCGGCCAAGGCGTGGCTGCTGGCTCAGCTGGCCTCACCCAGCTGCTTCTTCCCTGGAGGAGGGTTTCCCAGCAGTCTCCTCAGCCTCGTGCACGTGTGGCCAGACCCGTGAGCCCAGCGTGGGCTTGAGCAGATTCCACATTTCAAATAGAATCAGACGTTTTCGGTGTTAAAATTGCCTCAGGAGACAGTCCGAACTGCCACAGATGCAACCCATTCTCATCACATGTGGAGCTCGTGGTGTTGTGGTTATAATAGACCTAGAATTAAATTCATCTAAACGCTATTTATAGACACTCATTTAAATTTAGAGCATATATCTTTTCATAAGAACTATTAAACACCTAGAAATTTAATTTAAAAAAGAACTGTAAGTTCTCTGCTCTCAAAAGGATCGGAAGAAATAATTCCAAATTCCTGCAAACTCTAACCATAGCTTTCTAAATCGATTCTGGCAATAAACTTCCATGAAAGAACAGATACAAATTCTTGTTGGAGGAATTTATCCTCCATGTCTGTAAGTGCTCAGTGCTCACACAGCATAGCCGCTTGGATGAGTTGGGACCCACTTATGTTCTTTCCAGAACTGGTTCTGGCCAGAGCTGAGATGCAGGATGGGCGGCCACTCCAGCCCAGCGCACAGGCAGAGCTGAGCACCCTCTCCCCAGACTCTGGGGTGGAGAGGACACATTTGTAGGGCAAATTCAACTTTTTCAAATGGCATTTATAGCAAAGGGGAAGCATGATAGGTATTAGCTGCTGTAGAAATAGAAACACAGAAACTCAGGGGAGGTTGAAGGGAAGAAAAGCCCCCAGAGGAGCTGTGCTCAGAGATGAACCCACACCTGAGACCAGCTGGGGCCGCCAGGAGGCCCGGTCCCTCGTGTGTGAAGACAAAGCCTGTTTGCTGGGACGGTGGTTTAGCAACCCGTGCTTTGGCCCCACACAGGAGCCGCTTAGAGCCTGAGTGGCCCCGGTCTAGCTGTGCTTTGACAGACAACAGCTGAGGTCCAGCCGCGTGCTTCCCACCAGCTCTGCTCAGCAAGGCAAGCCTTAAAGAGGTACAGGGAGAAAGCCCTCCATTTCTTAGCAGGGGGCAGCCGAGCCTCCCTGCACTCTGTAAACCCTCCAAGGCAAAACATCTCAATGCCAGGTTCAGGTGCCAAGTGGGGCAGCAAGGCGGGACCACAGGAACCCCACCGTGCTGGGTCAAGCTAATTTCCTCCTGGCTTCAAGTCCATCCTTTTATACTATTCTTTGAGATGCTGGGTTTGGGATTCTGCAACCCACATTCCTGCTTTCCCTCCCTGATAGGCTCTGCCCACAGTGGGTGCTAGAGGGAGCCTAGAGGCTGGAGGCAGAGGAAGTAGCTCATGTTTGGTTTACTTCCTGTTTATCTCTGTGGGGCTTCCTGTCCCTGTCTGTTTCCCCTAGCAATGCTTCTTGTTCACTCAGGTAGTGTCAATTCCTTCAGAAGCATTTGAGGACAGCTTTTTGGTTTTCCCAACACTCACAGAATCAACCTCAGCCAAAACAGCCCCCTCCTCACTGCAGGAGTGCCATCCCCACAGGGGCTCTCTGCTGAGCTCAGGCACCAGCACCAGCTAAGGAGCACCCCACTTCCTCACCTCGGGAACCTGGGATTCAGCCCACACTCCCTCCAACTGTCTCACTTTTAGGTAGTCCAATAGCTTCCCTTTGTCCCCTCCACCCCCAGCCTTGGAGGTGATACCTGCTTCCTGTATCTTCAGTTACCTATTTAATAATTCTTTCTATTCAATTATCTCTAATAAAATAACTGGTGTGACTTCTGTTTCCTATCTGGACCCCGCCTAATTTACCCACAATTAGGTCCCAAGCATTGATAGTGGAAACTAGAGCTTGGCTTCCCAGCCTGAGCAGGGACAAGATCAGCCTTGAAGGACATAGTGAAACTTGTGGCAAATGAAGCTTAATTGCTGTACAGTCTTGGAGGGTTGCAGGGACTGCTTGCTAAACATTTAAATGTTTCTCCTTGATGGCCAGAAGTGAGCTGATGGAAGCATCCTCATCAGAGGTTTTCGAGAGAAGATGATCTTGTTAAAGTTTGCAGTGGGACTTTCTCTGGAATCCATGTGAAAGGGTATGGTCTCTGGGGTGATGGTGGGACCTGCAGCCGATGCCGTAAAATCACTCCACACCGACAACATGGTCTCGGACTTCATGTCCTTGAACACCATTTTGCCAGAAGTCTTGGATGACATTTTTCTTTTCAGCTGGACGATGCTGGGTGTCCTGCTCTGCCTGTGAGTCCATCGGCTTTCCTCCAGAGTCTGCGTGTATTCCAGTTCTCTAGCTTTGCTTTTCTCAATGAGTCTTTGCACCATCGGGGAGGTATATGTGACACAGGCCGGCCAGGGGTCTGGTTTTTCCAGCAGTTCCAGGGGAAGCCCAATGTTTTCGGTGAGTTCTACCAACAACAACAACAAAAAATTTAGGTAATTTAGAGGCTCTCACAGACAATAATTCAATTCTTCAAAGAAGGGGAGAGTATAGGAAGTACATTTTGAATGTCTCTCGATCCTATAATAGCTGTCCCACATCTCTGTTAGGGGGAATAAAATCTAATCCAAAATTGGGAAACAGAATGACATTCCATAGAGCATACCAAGTAAAGAACAGCATGGTAGTGGAGAGTAGGGAGCTTGGATCACCCAGGCTGGGTTTCAGATCTTTATATAGTATCAACTTGCTTAGCTCTGAACTTCTATTGTTCGACAATAAAAATGGTTACCATAGGCTACTGTAAGGATTAAATAACATGATGTATTTAAGGGCTTGGAACAGTGCAGTTCAGGGTATGAACATACGGGCTTCTCACTTCAACTGCTTCTCTGCCACCTTAACAGCTGTGAACCTCCAACAAGTGTCTTTATTTTGTCTCTTTTTTAAAAAGTATATTTTAAAAAATATTTTAATTTTTAAAAATCTTTATTGTTGAGAGTATTACAGATGCCCCCCCCCCTTTTCTCCCCTTCCTCTGAGATTCATCAGTATTTTCCATGTTTCCATGCCTCTGGTTCTATTTTATTCATCAGTTTATTTTGTTCATTAGATTCTTTGTTCATTTATTTTGATTTTTAGGTTCAATTGTTGCTAGATATGTATTTATTGCCATTTTATTGTTCATATTTTTTAACCTTTTTCTTCTTTCTAATTGATTTTCTTTTGCTGCTTTTAATATTCTCTCTTTATCTTAACCTTTGGCATTTTAAGAATGATGTGTCTTGGTGTAGGCCTCTTTGGGTTCCTCTTGTTTGGGATTTTCTGTGCTTTCTGGACTTGTAAGTCCATTTCTTTCACCAGGTAGGGGACATTTTCTGTCATTATTTCTTCAAATAGGTTTTCAATATCTTGCACTCTCTCTTCTCCTTCTGGCACCCCCATAATGCTATTGTTGGTATGCTTGAAGTTGTCCCAGAGGCTCCTTATACTATCTTCATATTTTTTAAAATTCTTTTTTGTTTTTGCTCTTATGATTGGGGTGTTCTTTGCTTCCTCATATACCAAATTGTTGATTTGATTCTCAGAATCCTTTACTGTTGAATCCCTATAAAGTATCCTTTATTTCCATTAGTGCATGCTTAATTTCTGACTGGTCCTTTTTCATGTCTTTGAAATTCTCACTAAGATCCTTGAAAGTCTCACTAAGTCCCTTGAAGCTCTCATTAAAATCCATGAGCAAACTTATAACAATTGTTTTAAACTTTGTCTAGTAATTCGCTTGCTTCCATTTCGTTTAGTTCTTTTTCTGGAGATTTCTTCTGTTCTTTCATTTGTGACGTTTCTTTGTGTCTGCATTTTGTCTGCTTCCCTGTATTCGGTTCTATGTATTAGGTAGAGCTGCTATGTTTCCTGGAATTGATAGAGTGGCCTTATGTAGTAGGTGTCCTGTAGGACCCAGTGGCTCAGCCTCCTCAGTCACCTGAGCTGAGAACTCCAGGTGCACCCCTGTGTGGGCTGTGTGCACAGTTTTGCTGTAGTTGAGCCTTGATTGCTGTTTGCGTCACTGGAAGGAATTGACCTCTAGGCCAAATGTCTGGGAGGACCAGCTTCAAATACAGTAGAAGATCTTCTTTGCAGGAGACACCCCTATGGAGTAGGACTTGTTTGAGTGGGGCTTTTATTTCAGAGATGAAGGGGGAGGGACAGAGAGACAGAAACATCAATGATGAGAGAGAACCACTGATCAGCTGCCTCCTGCACATCCTCCACCAGTGACCCAGCCTGCAACCCCAGGCATGTGCCCTGACCAGGAATCGAATCTGAACCTCCCAGTTCATAAGTCAATGCTCAACCACTAATCCATGCTGGTTTGGTTCAAACAAGTGTTTTAAACCGTTCTAAACCTTAGTTGCTGCATGTAAAATGATGATTAGCATAAGATCAATTTAGGGCTTTCTGTGGATTAAAAGAAAGAATTTATGTAAAGCTTTAGCACCATACCTGTCCAGAGAACTTCTGGTTATCTAGAATTCATTAGTTTACATGTTCAGTTTTGCCACCTCTGTGGCCTCTGAACAGTTAAAAGTACCATGGAGTATTTTTGTTCCCACCTGCCAATGCCCATTGAACAAGTCTCAGGTGACTTATAAGAAGTTTCCCAGGAGATGCTGATGATGTTGGTCAGGAGACCACACTTTGAGAACCAACACTCTGGGGAAATGCTCAAACTTTCATGAGCACTAGAATTACCCAGAAAGCTAGCTAAAGCACAGAAGGCTGGGTCCCACCCCAGTGGATCTGATTCATTAGGTCTGCTTTGGGGATCTGAGAATTTGCATTTCTGACTAACTCCCAGGTAATTTTGCTGGTCTGAGGACCATAATCTGAGAATCCCTAATTTAGACTGAATAATGATTCTAAACTTTCTTAGCTGACTTGCTCATGTGTGAAACACTCCCCTGAAATAAGCAATTCCCAGATGTTCCACCCTTTATCCTTCTACTCAAGGAAGCTTTGTGGAATACAAGTGAGTGTGTTATAGACAGGAGCAGGCTCAAATTTCACTATCTTTATAAAGTGAATTATTTACAAATGTTAGCATGTTATTATAACAAAAGATAGCAACTTAGATATTCATTCATACTCTTTTTTTTAAAGCTAGCTTTTGTCAAACCTCTGATCCAGGCCTGACAGAGTCCCTTTTATTGTCTTAGTGAAAATCTTTCATGACAATACATTCTTAGGAGAATTCAGTGTCATTTTTCTGAGGCTAGGGAAGAAGTAATGCCCAAATAGTCCTCTAACCTTGAGAGTTTCACATAGTAATTAAAAAAAATTGGAAGTGAAAGCATCTTACTTCTCCTAAGACCTACCATGGGATCTCAGAATTTCAGTGCATTATTCCAAGTTCCCAGTAGTATAGAGTATGACCTCCAGGGTCCCCCAGCCCACACTTGTCTACCTACAATGGAAGAGAATGCTTGGCTTATTTTCCATATTTGTAGAGCTGGTAGGAATGTGTTTTTACTTCATCTCATATGTTCAGTAGGATTACTCAATCATGACAGATGGTGAAAAGAAAACTGTCTTGAGTTGGTGGTATTTGGGGAATTTTGGATAATTCCTTTTATACTTCCCTCTAAGTTTCTAGTTAATGAACCCTGAGGCCTCAAAGAAGTCCAGTTATTAGTAAATTGTTTGTTTCAATAGTAATCTACAATTGTATAAGTCACCATCTTGCTCAAAACCCTTCACCATATATTTCTGGACCCTACAGTAGCCCTCTGGCCAGTAGCACAATTCTAGAAAATGGCAAGTTTGTCTCCTACCTGCTGATCCAGGAACTAGGAAAATAGAAAACCAAAGGAGGGAATGTTTGAGACAGCCTTAGAACGCATGGGGAGGACTTATTTGAAAATAAGAGGAGACAAATAATTGACATTAAGTCTGAAGACAAGCTTTAGGCTGTGACAAAGATTCCATTCTCTCTGTAAATGAAATGCAGACCAGCAATCTTCAGATAGAAACAACCCTGATTGGAGGGCAGGAGACACAACACTGATGTGGTTTCCGTGTTTCTCTCTCAGACACAAGGCCCATGATCCATCCACTAGGTTTTCAATCCCAGCTCCTCCCCATCCCTACCCCATCCTATCTCTTATCCCACCATTTCCAGCATCCAGTCTGATATGCTGGGTGTGACCTAAATAAATTCAAAGGAGTGGCACTTGCCTGGAACCTAACATGAATGTGTGACCTTGATCATGATCCTTAACTTCTTGGGACTCCTGTTATCAAAAAAGGTGAGGATGAGGAGAAATTCCTGTCCTGCTTCTCTCACAGAGGCACTGCTGTTATAATTAAATATATGGAAATAAAAGTGCTCTAAACCAGTGATCCCTCAACTTTGCTGCACATTGGAATTACTAGGGAACCTTTAAAAATTCAAATGCATGATTCCCACCCACAATATTGTGATTTCACTGGAGTGGGATGCAACACAGGCATCAGAATTAAATTCTTAATGCTAATGTGCAACACAACTTGGGAACTGCTGTTTAGAATCTAAACCAAAAAAACACTGAAGATTTATAGGATATTTGCTATTTAAGAAATGGGAAGCAGATCCAGGTCATTCCAATCCTCTGGCAATTTTAAAACACATTTTCATTCAAGAATGCTTTGTTATATATAGTCAGTACTGCATATCAGTGACCTTTAAATATTTAAGGACCATGGAGCATTTCTATCACCACCTGCCTATTCTGGAATTGACTTAGATTTTAAAAAAAAAAAAAGCCAGTACCTTAAAGAACTAAGCTAAGAAAACTGTGGCTGTGAATTATATTCTCATGCAAAGCTCATCTCACCCTCTGTGGCCACAAGCTGCCTCCTTATCTCAGGAACCATCTTACAAAAGGACTTTGTGGTTTCCAAGCAGGACTGATGGATGAATGCACCAGCATAAGTCAACCCCACTCAAACCGTTAGCCCCAATAATGCTATGGAAGTAGTGTCATTTGCAATCTCATGATAGGCAAGACATTATCTTAACCCAGTGTTTCCTAAGCTTGCCCCATAGAATGCAAGAATATCTCAGGATACTAATAGGTGTTAGATAAAGGGGAAAAACTATCCATGGTGGGGATTACCCTATATGACCGCATTAGTTGTTTAATCCGGGGCACTATCGACATAGTCTATGGTGTGGTGGGCTATAAGTTTAGCAGACCTGTCCTCAGTCAGGTAAGTTTAAAAACTGACATGTTAAACAAATTCCTTTAGTGCAGGGTTTCTCAGAGCTGGTACTATGTTGACTTGCTCTGTAATTTCCAAAGGTAGATTGATTTGTAGCAGATGAAATGTAGCATCCCTAATCTCATTTGACCAGAGGATCCTTCATTCAGTCATGCACTCATTCATGGAACAAGTAACTGGAAAAACGTTTGGGTGGATTCTGAAGTCTTTCTCCAGCCCTTGTTTCCAAACTGTGAGCATCAGAAAATGTTATGATATAGGAGGATGGAAGGATGAACTTGTTCAGGGAGTAGCTGAGTCTTTGATGGCTCACTTCCTCTGAAATCTGTCTCAGAAGGTTGGTCCCTCAAAAGTGTCTATACCCAGAAGAACAAGCTAGCATGAGGGCCTAGTGCTCCATCAGAAACCAGACTTATTTCCCTCTGTTGGCCTCTCTCCTCTCTTCTCTACTCCAGTCTTCAGCTGCCTTGTCTTGCTGTGTCTCAGCTCTCACTTTTTCCTCAGCCATACCTAAGAGTCTTGTCTTGCCCCAGAAGGACAACCACATTATCTGAAACAGGAAGCTGATGCAGTTTTGTTTCACCCCGACACGTCCCTTCAACCTCTCATTTCCTCCCCTTCCCTATGTCTTTGTCTGACCTCTGGCTGCTCCTCATTTATTTTTAGCTGAAGAGGAAGCTGCCACTTAGGCCAGAAGACTTTTCTCTACGATGCAGAGCAATGTTCCTGGTATGAACCAGCCTGGCGCAGGGCCAGTGTGTTCTTCTTGGGGGTCTTCATCCCCAGTGCTCTGCACCTTACAGGCTACCCATAGGCTCTGACCCCTGCAATTAGACCTAGGAAAGCACAGTGCTCATCACAGACTCCCCATTAGCCCCACTGTATCACAGTTGTCTTCACCTCTTTACCTTGCCCCCAAACCCATGGAAGCTATGGAAACTCTTGCCACGGTCCCACCTCCACCTGAAGGCTCTGAGGGTGCCCACAGACAATGGTTTGATGTGCCTTTAGCAGCACTGATGTTGGGAAGCACTGGGAACCTTAGAACTGTTTAGACAGAGGGAAATGGGGATGGAGAGGAGTAAGTTGGTCTTTTAGAAAAGAAGAGTTCCCTGGCCCCTCCTTATGCTGCCCTCTTCTCATTCTCATTGCTGCCCTTCCCTAAACGCACACATACTCCAAGGAGAGGAGGAACACGCCCATTCTTGCACTCTGTTAAAAAGTCAAGTTGCACATGAAGGGTATCTTTAGTAGTTGTGAGCATGTTCTAATATAGACCACGTCTCTTTCTGGGGGAGTAATTGTCTCTAACCACATCTGGGGCAGGGAGGTGAGAATCTAGTCAGAAGTGGCATCTTCTTTCTCATAGAGATCTGGCCTCATCAATTCACCACTTATGGTGGGTGGGAGGGGCACACCCTCCTTGTGGAAATGCTTCTGTATGCTATGTATTTTCTTGGAGGATTATGTGTATACTTTGAGAGACACAACAGTTGAGAGAGAGTTCAAGTGTCTAAGACCATGCAGCATCAATTCATTCATCCATCCATGCATGTATTCAACAAATATATATTGGTGGGGGCCCTGCTCCCCCACAAAACACATCATGAATTCTCCACACTAACCTCTTGTTTTGACCCCAAGCAAGAGGTGCTTCTCAATGTCAAGATTCCACAAAGCAGGTTTGTTTCCCATACCAACAATCCAAATAAGAATAATCCATGTCTTCTTTGTCATCAGAAAAAAGGAGACACATCCTTGTACATAGGTCAAAACAAGTCATATTAGTCACTCTTCAGACGGGTGTTGGTGTTCCCATGTATTAGGCAATTCAGCAGGTTCTGGGAACATAGAGCAGAGCCTTGGTTCAAGGAGCTTGCAGCCCCAGTAAGGGACAGACTCAGCCTGCATGGGGAAGATGTCAAGAAACAGGTTCAAGAAGAGAAAGTGGTGCTGGTGAATCTTGAAGCACAAGGAGCATGATGGGCAGTGGGTGTTAAATGTCAGCCAGCCTCAGTGTTTTCAGATCCTGAGTGAAGTCCTTCTTTGCTCAGTGGCCACATTTTCATCCAGTATGCAATTCACATGGGCTGTTTCCCAACGGTATATTTCTGCATCTGAACTATAATGTTGAGTGGGCTGAACAAATGCTTTACAAATTCACCACAGGAAAAAGTACTGAGCATTGTATACCTATCAAGTACAAATATGAATTTAATTTTATACTGATCCAAGGAATATTAAATCATAAATATTAAAATTCCCATTTTAAGATGTAATATGAAGATCCATTAGGCACAAAGCATATGGCCAGATGATCTATAGACCAAGTTCAAAGTTTAAAATGAACATTTCAGAACAAGCCAAACAGGCACAATTGGAGGAGAACCCCTCAGCCTGTCCTCCTGCAGACAGTTTGGGAGGCAGTTTTCTCTAATGGCCAACAAGTAGGAAATATATAGAGAAACAGGCATTGAGAAGTGGCCCTGCAGCCCCACGTTCAGAAAACTGGACATGACAGATGTTAGGCGACGTCTGCTCAGAGGCCTTCCCTCTGTCGAAAGCTGGCTCCTGAGCAATGAGCCCATGAAAGTGTGTGGCCTCTCATGTCTAATCCATCAGGAAAAGGAAGTCCTGCTCCCTGGAACAATGTGGGCATTGTGCACCTAGAGAAGCATGGGGAGACCGACAGGCATTTCCCGGGACTTGCCTCAGCCAATGGACCAGGCCACCCTCTCCTTTTAAAATGCTCAAAGCACTAGCAACTCAGGCCAGTGTCTGTTTTGAAGAAGGTGATTTGCATTTGAGACTTTGCCCAGAAGCAAAGAACTAAAGTAGCTGCCTTCTACAGAATTCAGTCATTCCATTAGCATATTGACACCATGTCCTCAGTGTCATACAGTTACCCAAGTTGATGCCCAACTGTGAGAAAATCCATGCATTGCACATTGCACCCAACTCTTGGCTAACAGATATCCTCCAAATATCTATAATAATCTATAATAATAAAAGCATAATATGCTAATTAGACCAGGCAGCTGAAGTCTTTCTGGACAAAGCTGCAGCGGCTGCCAGGGCTGAGGGCAGGCAGCTGCAGTGGCCGGCAGTGGCAGCAGCAGTGGGGGGATGGGGGCAGCGCCTTCCCCTGATCGGCCCAGTTGCCTCCCTCAGAGGGAGGCCAGACTTCGGCTTAGGCCTACTCCCCATGTCTAAGCCATCAGTAGGACATCCCCTGAGGGCTCCCAGACTGTGAGAAGGGGCAGGCTGGGCTGAAGGACCCCCTAACCCCACCCAGTGCATGAATTTTGGGCTTCTAGTGATTAAATAAAAACTCCTACTGGTTAGAGATGAGTGTTCCTGAGAAGAACCACAATCCAAATAAATCACCTCCTGAAAATCAAGAGTTTGCACTTTGCCCTGAATCTTTTTTAAACAAAAGAAAAGTACATCATTTGGGGGTGAAGCAAAGCAGGGAAAGCTCTGAAGATGGTACTCAACCTGTTGAAATGGAAAACGGAGTGAAGGAGATGATCTCAATGCTGTGCATAGACAACTCTCTCCAATGAGCGGAGCCCTATCCTCCTCCACCTTTGCCCCTGGCAGACCAGGGTGAGGAGCCAGAAGAAATCATCTCCCCTCCTAGAAGAGCAGTTCCTGTGAGTGCCATGTCAGCGAGGACCAGGTGCATTTTGCTGTATTTATTTTTACGTGTTCTCATAACTGAAGTTATATGTCAGTGTGGTAGAAAGTTTGGAAAAGGTTGTTTTTTTATCTTGTAACCTTGTTAAGTATTGCTCAGTCGGTACCTGTGTACTCTCCTGGCTCTTACACAGCCATGGTCACCAAATGCACATATCCTTTTGAATCCATCATTTCTGCTCTAGCATTATATTGTATTTTCTCATGTTCCTAAAGATTTTTCATAATTATTCTAGAGGCTACTTAATAACCCATCCAGTGAAGAACCAACATTAATTGTGTCTCCATTGGGGAATTTTACAGTAAGGTGCTTGGCAAATGTTGGCCACCAATGGTTGCTAGTCTCCCACAAAATTCAGTATTGCCAAAGCCACTGCCCCTCCCTCCCCCCTGAGAGGTGGGTAGTGTTCTCAGTGTTCCCCTGTCTTCATGAACAAGAAGCAGTGAGGGTATTTGCTGCATTGGTCCCTAGAGGTCCTCCCAGCTCCAAGGCCTACCATTCACTAGAGCACAGCCTGTAATGATGAGGCCAGACACTAAAATGAAATCTGTAAACAAATGTTCTCAGCACCAGTGTGAGGTAGACTTCAGGCAGGCAAGCTGGAGCAATAGCCCTATTGCACTCCAGTCATAGGAGGACCAGGGAAGAAGTGAAAAAGAATCAGCTTCCTGTGGCCAAGACCAGCTACGCACAGGGAATTTCCCCCAAAAGTATCTTACACACTTGGGTGCTTTGTTAAAATTGTATGTGCCAGCAAAGAACTAACAATGGGATCAATGAAAAATACTATCTGAACTTCAAGGTTTGGTGCCTAGAACTCATGCTGTAGGACCCAAGTGAAGGTCACCCAACAACCTCTCCAAACAGGAGATGCAAAATTATCCAGCCAATTGTCAAGACATGGTGTGTGACGCTTGAGGGGACCAAAGAACCATGAGGAGCAAACCAATTT